AAAAGTGCTTCGTTTGTCTGTTATAGGGCGTCAAGTTTTAAAAAAATCGTAAAACACATTTTTAAATATACAGGGTGAGTTTAGGAAACTACTGGAGATAGAGAGTCGGTTAAATGGGGAAAGAAGTTTTGTGGGGTCATAAATACGCCTTTCAGATTTTTCAAAAAGTTCATGGCTTACTAGATATTTCGAAAAAAACAAATTTCGGCTATTTTAAAAATTGTCCCTAATTCTATTATAAGCTATTTTAGACAAAAAGTTTTCAGATAAAAGTTGAAGATAATCATCATCATTTTTGACATATGATATAAACATATGTTTTTTTAAATGGAAACCATAGTTGGCCATGACTTCATATAAAAAGCGCCATTTTTTAAGCTTTTTAGTGATATAAGCTATAATATCTTTTCATCGAAAAATTACTGAGTTATAGCCAATTCTTATCATTTTTAAAGAATTTCACTTAGTTAGCCATGGAAACAAGTTCAATCGCCGTTGCTTTCAGAAATGTGAAGCTGTCACATCCAAACTTTGTAAATTAAAATAAACAAAAATTGTAAATGTGAATTTTTAAAATGAAAAAAAGCGCGTAGATACTCGCGCATCAATAGAGTGGTTCCAACATGACTTTCATTATGACACACTACCCCCCACTCTCACATAATGAAAGAAATGTTAAAAATTATTTATATCATAATTATGCAAACGCAGGGATAGGAAGAGGTGGACTAACTGCATGGGCCTCCTCGATCAACTGACCTATCCATTTTAGAATTTTTTATGCGGTATGGTTAACAATAAGGTTTACAAAATAACTAATGAATTAAGAGAGGCACTCGAAGTGGCGGTACGAGAAAAGTTTAATTAAGTCCTTCTGTGAGAATATATAATTAAAGTAATTCAGTTTTAAAAAGATGCAACTCAAATCAATGGCGAATTTTTTGAACATTTTCTAAAATAACTTAAAGTGTATGTAGTGATATTATTTTTTTAAACTTTAGTTTGCGTAATGAAAATTGTAAAGAACCGTTTAGTAATATATTCTGACTTTTTATAAGTTATAAATCATAACAGAATAAAAATACCGAATTCTAGTAGGCGATGATTTAGGTCAGAGTCAAATGATTTATGACAATAAGCTTCATACACTTTAAAGGTGTATTCCATTGCTTACCTTGGTTATGGTTTATGTTCCGTTTCTATCGGTTTCCTGAAAGTTTTCTAATTCGGTTATAACAGTTACCAAATTAACCAGCGCGAGAAGGCTGGTTTTTCTAGTTTTGTTTGTCAATCAATGTCATTTATGTGACAGAAATCGAGCAAATATTGGAAGTTTGAGTGAAATTCTCATTTAATTTCTAAAATTTGTAATAATATTTTGTATTTACATCCAAAAGCAATGAAGGTAAGCAGTAAAGGTAAATACATTTCTTTAACTAAATAGAATGACTTTTTAGGACCATTTAAACTTATCATGCAGCCATTGTTTCTTAAAGTCAGGAACATTTAAAGAAAACATGAAAAACAAGACAACAAGTAATCGTGAATGTTTTGTAAGCTATAAAAATATAAATATTGATTAGATTTGTTTATTTATTATTGATCTGTTTTAATATTGGACCTGCAAATCTTCACTTGAGCTGTCTAACTAGTTTAACAGTTTATTAATAAAGTACTTTTCAATATTAAACTCCATTGAATAAAAGAACGTCAACATTTGACGTTTCCAGTATTTTACCAAAACTAAGTTTTTCAGGAACCGCTCTTTATAGTAGTTTATCGGTCTGGTTCGCCTGGTTTTGCAACGCAATACAGCCTAAATTAAATAATGTTTTGGTTTATTAAATTTGATGCCCTTTAAAGGATAAACGAAGAACTTTTGTATAGAGATAAATTGTGTCCAATTAGCTTAGTAGTTGACGTTCTGACGTACGTAGTAGTTCTATGACTACGGAATATTAAAACACCCCGTATATTTGACGTATGAATAAATGTTTGGCAGTGTGAAGGTGATTTTTTGCTATTGTCTGAAGTAATCACTACTATACAGGGTGTCTCAGATTTTAATCGAGAAAATTTAATAGACGATAGAACTTGCAAAAATAAAACAAAAAGTTCATATCAACTTGTAAGATTTAAAGCTTCCTTTTTGAGATACAGGGTACAATATTAATTTCCAATTAGAATTTAATTTTTTTCGCAAGAAGTAAGCAAGATAGACAAAAAAGTCAGGAGACAAAAAATAATATTTTTAATTACTAAATCCAAAAATAATATTAAACTTCTAAAAAAGCAGTGGCGTGCCTATTTTTTCCTTTAAAATAATTTAACAGTGATGCCCCACCGCCGCCCCTGGCCATTAAGCTCTTTGCAATCTAATTACATCAAAATTAAGTCCCATAGTAAGTATTATAAACGGGTCAAGTTATATCCAAATCGATCAAATAGTTTTTCAAATATCTTAATTTTTTTTTCTTTTTTAAGTAACTTTAACACCCTGTATCTCGAAAAGGAAGGTTTAAATCTTACAAGTTGATATGAACTTTTTGTTTTATTTTTGCAAGTTCTATCGTCTATTAAATTTTCCCGATTAAAATCTGAGACACCCTGTATATCTAATAAAAAAAAATATAAGTCTGTCCAGCGAGAGAATACACGACAGTGTCAGGTGTCATTTTAATTCACGCGTAAATTACATTTTCTGTCATTTTTCTAGTCGTCTGTCAAAATGTTTCCTGACGCGTTGAACAGACTTTAGTTCTTTTTGTCTATTATAACTTCTTTCTATCATAATGTTTCTCTAAATATGTTAAATCGTATGTCATAAATGCAGGCAATTATTTCATTACTAAAACTACAGCGAAGGTGATGAAATTTTCTATTGAAATGTTCTTTTTAGACTGAATCATTTCACTGTTTTGTCGTATGATCGAAAAACGACGTCAAGTTACCTAGAAATATCGATCGATGACATTCGTCTCATCAATCTTTATTACTAAGGTAAATTTTTAGTATATCTGACGCAATATAACTCCAATATACAGGGTGAGTCTTAATAATAAGTGCAAATATTTTCAGGGCTGGTAGATCTCGATAAATGAAACATTTTCTCTTTACCGTTTTTCAAATAAGTCCAAAATAATCGAGATATTTTACTTTGAAAATGCAAAAAAATGATTTTTCGCTTAGATTTTGAAAACCACTGTATATTTTCTGGGGTTTCTTTCTTGTAAATTTAATTTACTACCTATATTACCATATTATGAAGGTATATGTTTTTTAACTGAAAATTTAAAATTTTCAATTTTTTTTTCGCGAAAAAAACTCATATAGACGTGTTTCTGGTATCGAAATGTACTACCCCTAAAGTATTTGCACTTATTTAAGACTCATCATCTATGGTCAGATTTTAATATTTGGAGCCATTATATTATTATATTTATACAACTGTTAAAAATTTAAAAAAACGTTTTAAACTTAAAAAACGTAAAGCTTGTTATCCTATCTTTTTAAACCAAAATTATTATATTGACAATATCTTCAAGGTCGTATGTCAAAGATTAAAATCCGACTATAATGATTTAAACAATAATACATAACAAATAAAATAAATTCTTTTTATTGTACTAATATTTTTGTATTGGTAATAGTACTACCAATTCAATGTGTGGCTGGATTTTGATCAGTTCTTCTAATTCTACAGGCTGGTTAGTGTCCCAGAGAAATAAGTAAACACAGAGCCTAAATTTTAGATGTTTCTTTTCATTATATAGTAATTAGAATTAATAAGAAATAGTTAAGTTAGAAGATGTATAGTGTTTATTTACTTGATTAAAGTATTTTAAGTTAACGACTCCTTTTTGCTATAAAGCAAAATTAAATTACATTATTACAGTATTTTTATTATAAATACTTAGTTAATTTCGACTTCTATGTTTACTTATTTCTCTAAGCTTAGTGTGTTAAAAACATAAAAAGTGTACCATAAAGTATGTAACTTACTTTATACCGGGTGCGTCTCAAAAGTGGCTCACCCCTATAACTTTTTTTACTTTTTCAGATAAAAAAACGAGATTTGGTATGTTAGTATATGACATAAATTAGGATTGATTGGTGTATTCATTTGTTTTTGGTCACTTCCTGTTTCACCGGAAATGACTATAACTTTTGATTTTTAAATGGCACCCTCGGTATTTTTTTTACTTTATTCGATAGAAAATGACATTCTGAATAGAATGACATATCATATGTCAACTTTTGACATTCTCCCTTAATCAAAAATTGTATTTTAAAATTCAATCTAGAGTGCCATGAGTACGTTAAAAACACTAATTCTTCATCAAGGAGTCTTGGAAAAATAGATTTGATCCTCTAATGTTTCAAGTGTCTTGTCCTGGCAAGCTAGAAAATGTTCAAATCGTATTTTTAATCATATCTCAATTTTTTCGCAGAATCAAATGGAACGAGGGTGGCTCATTAGCATATTTGGAAAAAGTTTTTTTTACGAATAATTTGATACCACACACTTGGCATTTCGAGTCAAATTTTCGTTGCGAACAGCAAGTTATAATTTCAAATAAACCATATGCGAAAATGTCAAAAGTTGACATACTATATGATATGTCATTCTATTCAGAGTGACATTTTCTATCGAATAAAGTAAAAAAGTACCTGGGGTGTCATTTAAAAATCAAAAGTTGTAGTCATTTTCAGGAGTGACCGAAAACAATTGAATACGTCAATCAATCCTAATTTATGTCATATACTAACATACTAAATCTCGTTATTTTAACTAAAAAAATAAACAAAATTATAGGGGTGAGCCACTTTTGAGACTCACCCGGTATATTTCAAGGATAACGGAAAAATATAATATAATAAAGTAAAAAATAATTCGTGTTCTGTCGAGATAATCAAGTGATGCATAAATACTGTACAATTCTAGCCAATCAGAAGAGTCTCATGGCTAAAAAGAGGTTTTTTCTTCCTAAACTAGCAAATAAAAATATCACTATACATTTATTAAATTCTGCAAATTACCGTATTAACGAGAGTCATCGTTACTTATACAAGCTCATAGTGCCGAAACAGTTCGCTATAAGATTGCACCAATATTGAGATCTTCAAACCAAAGAAAGACCCGCTTTTAAAGGTTATTTTGTAGGAAAGACAACAAAGTAGTTTCGTAGTGTTTGCTTGAATCCAGGTGACGCAATGAGTGTCTTTCGTTCGGGTAGATCTGTAACTGATACGGTTTTCCTGCTTTGATCATGCTGTTGATCAACTGAGTGGTGTGATAAAAGTGGACGTTTTCGTCTATCAGACCGTGTATTATCAATAGACGATTTTCCCTAAAAAAAAATACATAGTGCATTAACGCGCTATACCGACCTGGTCATTGAAACTGCGTGGTCTGGATTTTAACGTGTGGGACAGTGATGTCGACAGCTTAATGGGAAATCAAATGTATTAAAAAGAGATAAAAGTTGGGTTGATATATTTCTTCTATGCGGTATTGCCCGATTTTGCATCTAGGGTTGGAATTTTATTTTTCACAATTAGTTACTCATTTTACTACAGCTGCAATAAATTATATTTAGCTTAGATATATTATTTTCATTTCAGTAGTATATACGAAAGTTTTTAAAATAGTTTATTTTTTTATACACATTTTCCTTCAAACGTAAAAACCGGCAACATTGTATGTCGCTTTTAATTTTGTTTCTCTGTCTGTCAACCGTTCATTTAGATTTATCTCTGTCGCGTGCATTAAAATACAGACCATGCAGATGAAGTGACCAGGGCCAGTATATCACAATGAGCCTGTCCATCTTGAATATTTTTAATTCTCTCGCATATTTTAAAATATGTAAGGAACATAATATGTAGGTTCTTTAAAAAATTTCGGATCGGTTCGGCTTTTTCCGGAATTATGTCGCCAAATATTATTTATTCAAATTTATTATTATTTTCTTTTAATTCTATAAATAAAATACAGTATGTTGCATACAAGAAACTTTGTTTTATATAAGGATATGTATGTGAAATTCCTATGAAACATTGGAAACCGACGTTATGCCACGATCCACGATGGTTTTTGCAGTTCACAGTTCACAACACAGTTTTGTTTTTAATGCCACTTTTTCACAATTATCACGGGTTTGAGTAAGTAAAATTTAAATTAAACTCACAAGACAGCAATAATTACTTCGAGAATGGACGCTTTCAACACTTTTCGGTATTTTTTCAATGAGGGTGGTTTAAATTTTAAAAGATTTTATAATTTTTAAGATTCTGATTTTTACAAGAGAAAATTATTTCTGTTATTGTTTGGCGGTTGTTCTTAGCAACCGCTACAGCAGCGCCAGATCGCGTACAACGGTCGCGACCCAAAACAATTATATATTTTGACGGGCTTTCCGATCTAAATTTATTTCCTTTATCTGTGGTGTTTACTTATCGACGAAATATATTTGATTTTATAAATATACTATTATGTTTACAGTATACTTTTTGTAAATTTTCATAGAGAATAAAACATACTCTCAGTTTTATTTTGACAGATCTCTGTAGAAGAAACTCATAATAGATTTGTCATATTATGACATAACTTGTGACTGTGATGTTTGTTTGATCAGGACCGCACTATTTTAAAATTTCGCCTAATTTATTATTTTTGTATCTTTTATAATTCAAGAACGAAATGGCATAAACCATTCAAAATGAACAATTTGCTTCATTTTAAGGAGTTCTTTAAAAAGTTTCAAAAACATTTTTCTGCAAAATAAAATTAAAATTTACATGGGATTTCCTATGTCCAGGTCGGCGATGCAACACACGGTAAATTTTTTTTATGGAAATAAAAGTAATAATAAATTTGAATAGACAATATTTGGCAACATAATTCCGAAAAAAGTCGAACCTTTCCGAAATTATCAAAAGCTTTGGATCGCATCCGTTACAAGAAAAGCGCTAAATAGTATTTACATCGTCTTTTTGTTCTATTGATCTGTTTACGTCTGTCAAATGCCAAAAATAAAATAAAAATACGTGACGGACAAGACTTAAAAATAAAACCCAATATACTTACTCGTCTGGGAAGTTGTGAACGAAATTTAAAACTGAACCTTCACTGTAGCCATCGATATTATGTGCAGGTAAATCCATATACCTTTCCGTGTATCCCGTATCGTACAAATTCCAATTTGTAACTGGAGCACCAGCTATAGCTATTTTAAAGACGTTCGGGTAATGAATTAGGCCCATCAGACTCAAATACCCTCCTAAAAAATTACGTTTACACCAAAACATTTTTTTTGTGATCCTATATCACATAAACTCCGTGAACAAAGCCTAAAAAAACTCTTTCTTTCCTCTTTTTCTAGGTTCATAATGAACTAGTTTTTACGTTAAAAGTAAAATAAGTTATAAAACAAATAAATCAATTAATTACTAAATTTTAGTTATTAAATTAAAAATAAAACGTAAAAATCTTTAAAAAATGATATAATAAATATATTGTTTCCCAATTTTAAATTAAGATTCATTTCACAAACCCATTACAATCTGGCAGCGCTGTCGCCATCGCTTGTCTTGATCACGTGCATCGGAAATTGTTTTGCGATTACTGTAGATCATTAAATGGGATCTAGAGTAGTTTAAAAAGTGATTTTATACTGAAGTTATTAAAATTATTTATCAATTACAATAAATTCAATCAGGTTGTAATTTATCACTAATATAGCAGCATTCGAAATATTTTTTTTATTTCTCGAGAAAAGAAGATTTAATCCATAGTTTCCAATTGAATAAAAACAGTAATCCCTAGTTAAAGTTATGTATTATTTAAGGTTGCGGTAATTAACCCCCCTCCCACTCATTCTACATTCTCTAGAAGTATACCACATGTTATGACATAGCGATATTCACAAAGTATATATGATTTAGGTACATTTTACTATTTACCATAGGACCATCCATGAATTGCCACCCTTTCTAAATCAATGTAGCCCAAGGTATCCGCTAACCACCTCAGTACTTCGACCTGATCGCTGAGTTCTACCGTGCCCATTTTGCCTTTAATATGCCCTTCAAAATGAATACCTCTGTGAAAAGACCCTCTGGAATCAATCGCTACTACGCAGTATCCCCTTGCGGCCAACATGTGCATCCTTAGTTGTCTCATACCCTTCAAATATATTTAATTCTAACCAATCCTAATATTAATTAAATATAGTAATTCTTTTGAGTTTAGAAGTGTTAATTTTGTTTGATAATTATATAAAAATTAAAAAATAATACAAATTTCACATCTTTGCATTTCACTACTTAAAAATATCAGAATATATTGCATATCCATAAAAGACAGGCCTTAGACAAGGGAAGAAAGGGGACAGGTAACACGGCAGCTGAAAGTGAGGCCACTTGTCACCACGCAAAATTCTCCAATGGCGTAGCATCAGAAATTAGCTTGTACTAGACGATAAAAATATTCATTAAGACGATAACTAAAAATTTAATAAATATCGTTTATTTTTGAGTAATGCATATACAATTTTGTATTTTATAGTCTAACCTTTATAATATTAGAATATCTAAGTCGATAAAGGAAAATTTATTTAACAGTCACATTGAACTGATCATCAAGGCAATTATTTATTTATTAACGTGTGTATAATGTATAATTAAATAAAAAATAATGTAAATATATATGTTTTAAACGTGTATATACATATATACCGTATGATCGAAAAACAACGGCATCCTGTTTGTTTGGAAATGACGATCGATGACATTCCCCAAATAATTCTACGTATAAAATGACACAAAAACTATATAAACGGACATCGAAAAAAGACTGAGAGGAATGTCATCGACAGTCATTTACAAGCGAACTGGACGCCGTTTTTTTTTCGAACATACGGTATAATAATGAATCTAACCAATCCCTTCCAAACTTGCCTACATATTCAAAGAATAAAGTAATTTTTAATATTTGTTACCTTCAATCATAAGAATAACCTAATTCTCCGCAAAAAAATTAACAATTCTAGAAGCTTTGTGTTATTTTATTTATTTATTTTTAAATTTTTATTAATTATTCACTGAAACTATTATTATACACCTAAATTAGCAAATTTTTTGAAAGGATATTTAAAAAAATATAATAACAAGTAGCCCACCACAAGTTTGTCCACCCCCAGTAAATCTTGGCAGGTAAATTTAAGTATTATGTAACAACTATACATATAGATTTTTTATAACCAAAAATTTTCATGTTTTTTTTTATAGTTTACAATTATTATTATACATATTTGATAACAATACTTTAAACATTTTTTTACATGTAAAATATATAAAAAAATGTTTATTGCAGAAATTGTATTTCTCTGATTATAATACCCTACGCCACTTGAGAAATCCAGTCTGAGTAGCATTATTTATAGTTTCAAACATTAATTATAATATAGGATATTGAAAATACTACTTGGAATTAATAAAAATAGTTTGCTTTGGATGTGGTACAAGACATATTAAAAGCATTTTACATATTTTTACTGCTATAATGAAAAAAATGTACATTTTATGACTATATAACAAAAGTTGTGTATCGACTTTTACCTGTAAAATGTATTCCAGTCATTTTTTTCTCGCTTCAGCCTTTGCAGCCATACGCTGAACATCTTACCATACTAAACAACACAGTTTATAAATTTAAAACAGAACAGTTGTCACAAAAAACAAAATAAATTCGCTCGGTGTCACCTCGAAATCTTGTCACCATAGTATGGCCGCCGATCGAATTTTGGCCTCACTAACCGATCACGGGAGAATATGCGTGTTACCCATCCCCTCTCTTCCCTTGTCTAAGAGACAGGCAAACAAATTGCAATAAAATTTTATCAAAATAAAAAATAATAACACAACATATGATGATAAAGACCTGTAACTGAACTTTTTTAAAAGCACTGTATAAAAATTTAAAACACTAACCTTGAAAGTGTTTGATACTAACTGGACCTCTGGACCGCCATACACGTTCAAAATAGTAGGATACTTTTTATCCGGTTCAAAATGATGAGGTTTGAACACCATTGCATATAAAACATGACCTAAAAACAAAAATATAATTGAAAATAAAAAGAAATAATAAAAAACTAAACAATAATAATATAAATTGTATTTACCTGAGCTAATTTTGTGAGTATATAAATCTGGTGAGTAGCACTCACTCACGGACGTTGGTGTTTCCACCAGGTAACCTAAGGGAGTCAAGTTAACGCCCTCTACAGTCCATTCTGACTCATCAACCCTGAATACTTGACAAGCGGGCGGTTTTTGAATGTTACTGTACAGAGTTACTAACAGTGAACAGTCCTAAATCGAAAAAAATTACCATAAATCATGTGATTTCTTTACTATGACAAAAATGCTTGACAATATGACCTTGACTTTCTGAAAAATCTACGCTAATTGCAAAAAATTACAAAAATCGTTGACGTTCTTTTTGTAGACGTATCTGTTTTAAAAAGCTAAAGTGTTCTCGAATAGTTTAAATATTTTAAATATTTTCTTTTATTCTTTGTATTTTTTTTGCTTCCGACGACGACGGAAAGTGTTTTTTTTTTCTTTGCGAAACGTTAAGCATTTTTTTGTTTGTTAGGCAAATTTATATATTTGTAAACCTAACTTCTGACAAGTTGTTTCAGTTTGGATTAAGGGCTCGAACACACCGACGTCCAGGTCGCACCGGCCAGGTCGCTGCTATCTCTAAAACCATTAAATCAAATGATACGGCGCACACTAACGTCCTGGCCGTCCGTTGGTCGTTGCGACCAGTAGACTGCACTAAAATATAATTTTCTGCCCTCTTGTTGCCGGTTTTCTTCCAAATTAATAATTTTTCATATGAAATCACTCAAATTCAACGCACAATATTTTATTTTCTATAAGATATAGTGTTTTAGTGTAGTTTTTGCACACGTGCAGAAAATCCAAAGAAATAGTATACAGACTGGATCAAAGGAAAACTTAAATCTAGTCTTTTTTTTATCAAGGGTCGATTCTAGTAAAAATTCAAAACATTTTTATATGACATACTCTATTTATGGTTGGTATGATACCTGTTATTATACCTTCGAGTTTCGATGTTAAAAAATAAAAAAATCATATTTAAAGTTTTTCTACAACCACTTGTTTTTTTTATTAAATTATTTATTTTTTTTAGTTGTATTGTAGTCATGTACAAGGAGGACAACTGTATTTTAAATATTATATTTAATTTAACGTTTCTCAAACAGGGTCCTTTAGACTATATTTCTACTAGGTACATTATTTTTAAAAAAAAATTAAGAGTGAAAGGAACTTAAACAATCATAAAAATAGAAGTATTTACTGTTGTAGATTCTCAGTAACAATATAAAAAATCGGTAAAAAACTTTTAAGTTAAACGGTTTTATCTTATGTGCACTGAAAACTAGAAAATAATAATAACAATAAGGTATTTTGAACTTCTAGTTCAGAAATATTTTAGTACTAGGCAGAATAGCTTTTAGGCATATTAGACTAAAATAAAAACGTGGGGCCCCTCTGAAATCCTACCTATGGCAAAGCATATATTTATACTTTGGTAGATCATGAGCTCGGCGTTCGCTGGTGAAGCCGCCACGGCTGGTTATTGATTGTCAAAATCTCCAGTTACGATTATAGTAAGTCGATGCAATCCACACTTAGTATAGAAGAAAGTATTACAGCAATAGTTAATGGGCCCCACGTTTTTATTTTAGTCTAATATGCCTAAAAGCTATTCTGCCTAGTACTAAAATATTTCTGAACTAGAAGTTCAAAATACCTAATAATTATTATTATTTTCTAGTTTTCAGTGCACATAAGATAAAACCGTTTAACTAAAAGTTTTTTTAACGATTTTTATTTTCTAGTTTTTAGTATTTAACGGAAATGCCTACCGAATATTCCTCATTCTATTTAATTCATTTAGTGCATCATTATTACATGGTTTTTTACCTGATAATTTATTACAATCTGACGCTCAGGTGTTTCTGACGCTAACAACTCTCTCTGTCTGTCGCGTTCTGATGCTAGCCTAGACTCATGACGCTCAGGTGTTTCTGACGCTAACAACTCTCTTTGTCTCTCTCGTTGTGATGCTAGCCTGGACTCATGACGCTCAGGTGTTTCTGACTCTACCAGCTGCCTTTGTTTCTCACGTTGTGCTATTAATCTGGCATCATGTTGCTCAGGTGTTTCTGTTGCTAACCGTTCTCTTCGTTTCTGTAGTCGACTATAGGTTTCATTTTCTTGAGGAGAAAACGCTTACGATATTACATTTTTAGCCACCCTAATGCCATACAGTCCTCAGCACGTTTTAACCTATTACCTTAACTTGGGTTGTAAAGCTACCGCTAACTACGTAGGTACATCTAATCACCTATTTTTCTTATCTGTCCTTCTAACGTCACACAATCTTGGACACAACTGTTCTGGACACAACTACTCATGCCCTCACCTAATACGCCATTTTGTAACGACGTCCATCTTGGATTTTAAATTTTGTCACAATCACAGTATTCTACTAGTGTAGCCCTTTCATTTGATACCCATATTGAGGGGGTTGTGGAAAAATATGAAATCCGCCATTTTGTACCGGCGGCCATCTTAGATTTACAATGTTATTGATATTACTATATTGTATTGTCATCGGAACTAAAGGTGTGTACCAAATTTCAGATCAATCTGACAACAGGAAGGTACTTAAATTTCAATTTCTAATTTTGACCCAAATAAACAGACAAATAAATAAATACCGTATGGGTCGAGCTAAATAAAACCATTTAAAAAAAAGGAATTTATATTGTAAACATTGAAATAACTGGAAGCTAAACTTTGTACCTGCTTATATTTAGAGCCAGTGTCTGACGACCTTTTTTTACGATGGCCCTAATATGTTTACTTTTTAAGTTCATAAGAGCCATCAGTAGAAGTCTATATCAGTAGAAAAAAGAAACAGAATATCTCCCTTTTTGTCGGTCGAGCGTACACAATGCTTTTTGTTCGGCCTATTTGTTCTGCTTGTTCGTGCGCGTTCGTTTGTTCGGGCTAAAATGCCCAAGTCTGGACGCACCTTTAGGAACAATACTGTTTTTGTCCTTTATTGATATAATGCTGAAATTTCACGAGTTACATGTCACTCTACACATATTAAATTACATAGACGTAGGATGTAGAATATTCTGTTATGAAACGACTGATGGAATAGCAGGCACCGCGGATTTGAAAAACATGGAAATAACGACGTTATCGTATAGTTAGGGTTGGAGATTTTACTTACTCCATTTACCACACCAGTATTTATTAACGAAAAATCCAAGAATATTTAAATGCATTATTTAATGTTAGAACATTTAATAAGCTCATGAATAGCAACTTCGCTTTTTAATTAACTCGGATATTTTAACATTTCTGAAACTTAATTCTTTCTGAAACAATATTTTCTAATTGGTAAAACGTAAAAAAAATCGTTAGATCTGACAACTCTGTTGAAACTGGTCGTTCATCTGGCTGCAGCTATAAACGCAATACATCCGGCCAGCCGACGGCCAGGTCGTTGTGACCTGGTCGTCAGTGAGTTAGAGCCCTAACGCCAGAAGTGTTTACAAAAAATAACTATTGTAGATTTTCTTGCAGTGCAGTGGCGAAATACCCATACAGGATTTGGAGAGATGAATCCGCCACATAGATATAGACATTTTTTACGATTATAGAAGTAGAACTAATATTTAAAGCAAGTTTTACCCCATTAAACTCCACTATATACGAATATCCCGGCCTAGTAAGCAGTCGTATCTCGCCTGGCCGCTTTAGAGATACCACGTATAAGTGTTTTTCCAGAGGAGTCTCCTTCAGTCCCATAAAATAAACTAATTGCTTCACATCTTGCACCCATAAGTCCGGTCCCATCACCTCCCAATCGCCGGACGTCAGCTGGACTTTGGACGTGATTTTCGGAGCCAGGAATACATAGTCTGTGGACTGAAAAAAAAAGAAACAAAGTCCTTACGTCATTGCGAAAACTAAAGGTTCGTTTCTAAGCTTTATACATATAAAGCGCATTCTCTCGACTGGTGTACTTGACAAACATTTGTTATTGGAATGTACTCGCCATGTCGTGAGAACGGTTTCCTTGGTCACTCGTCGCGTCCCCACTCTCTTTCGGTAAACATAGCCCGAGTCAAACGATTAATCGTACACTTGCCAAGTGTACCTTTAATTGGACATCCCTGGTTTTTCCCCTGTTTTGCATTTTAACATTTTTATTTCGGTATTTCAGAATATGGCGATAATTCACAATACCTATTAATAATTCAGAACTGGTAGAAAGAACATAGAAATCGTATTGCAGTGTACAGTAAAAGAACTTAAAAAGAAAAAAGAATCACTAGCAACGACAATTTCGGGACGACCGGTATCTATCGATGCGACTATACTGTTTACTTGCCAAGGATTTAAACAATGTTTGTGCTGGCGTACTTGTTGAAATGAACACGTCGTGCGAGCGCCACACTTGCCGATGTTGTTTACAACGTGGGGATACTTGCCAAGTACGCAAATATTGGCGTACTTGCCAAGTAGACAAGTCGTGAGAGTGCGCTTTAAGATGTACTGAAGAAAGTGAGAAGGACAAGTGTTTTTCCAAGCGCATTTTTTTCCAATAACAAGGGGCCGTCCTCTGCCGGAAACACTGCGATCTGTGAGGCCTATTGTGTTTGTCCCCTTTCTATATCTGGACCCATTTTCCTATCCCTGTGCTCTGCACTAAGTTATGCAGGTCCTTGATAGGATGGCAGCATAATTCCTCCGGTTCTAGCCTAGCTTTCCCAAGTAAAAAGTATCGCTTGCGATCCAGAGCTTCGCAGTGATGTGCTCCGCTGTTTCAGTATCTTTATTGCAGAGTCTGCAGCACAGACTTCCTTGATACAGGTTGAGCTTGTTCAGGTAACACAGCCATCAAGTGGTCTGTTGTAATTCGTACTTTATTCCTGCTAAGCTTTAGCAGTTTTCTTGCGGTTTTTGAGCTAGGTCCTTGGATAAAGGCATTGCTGTGCCTGAGCCCCCGTCTGTTTCTCCAGTGGACATTCTGCTTTTTTACTGATTGAGAGTTTTAGTGTACTACGGGCCATACATTTGGGTATTACCAGTACTGGCTTTGGACCAAGATAGGATGCCGATGATCCTTGCCTAGCTAGCTCATCGGCTTTTTCGTTGCCTTGGAATGGAACATTGTAGAATGGCGAAGATTTCTGCCTGGAATACGGTTGTGTATTTACCCAAAGTAACGGATAAGCTTACCCTTGGGCTTTCTGGAAATATTGCTATTGTGGACCAATGAACCATATTTTCTTATCCATATTAATTATACAGATCATACTGTGAATAGTTCTGACTGATAACAAAACGCATTAGCAAGCAAGGGGGATGTCAATGTTAGTCGGGAACTATTGTGAACTAAAGACCTAATTCAAGGAACTATTCCTCTGGAGAAACTAAAACTAAGGAACTAGTTCCTCCCAAGGAACTAGAATTCCCATCTCTATGCTGCACAATAAATCCCAAAATTCCCGCTTGTGCTCCGTTACTAATAGGTATGTTCCAAAATATAGAATCGTCGATTTTTTGTCAATTGCGACATTACTATATCAAAGTGAGATAAAAACACCACCTACAGCTTAGGTAGACCCTAAACGATACTTGACAGGATAACCATTTTGATAGGTTAAACTGTATATCAATAATAAAAATACTATACCTGAGATGCTTCAGTGACGCCATTGGCCATTGATGAAATTTGGGCAGTGATCAAATACAAATGTCTGTAACCAGTATCCTCGTTGGCCCAGATGAATTTGACCTCGTTGTGGTCGTCGGACGGCAAAAAGTACAGCAAATCGTGCACGTTGATCCAATACTGCGAGTCCTGCCTGTAGATCACTTGGACTATGGGACTGTCGGAGACGGAGTTGTTCATTTTGCAAGAGGAATTGTTAAAGTAGGGAAGATCCTGAGTGAAGTTGCTGAGGGATAGCAGGACTAGTTCTAGGTGTTGTTGTCGGCGGTCTAGTAGTTGCACCCAAATACTGCAAAGAAAATTATACAGGGTGATTCAATGTCCCAGGGTTATGTTTTAAGATTTTTTTAGCGTTTTAAATGTGTCTAATTCCCTAGTCAAATTAGTTAAAAAAAAGTCCATGAATGTAAAAAGTTCCCACAGTTTTGAAAATGGTTTAAAACGATTCCTCTAGACTTGGGCTGATACGTGTCAAAAGTAGTGATGGGAAAAACCGATTAATTTCAATAATCGAGTACTCAAGTTTCAAGCAATTGCAATAACCGAGCGATCGCCCGAGCGAAATATCGCTCGTATTTAAAATACGGGTTTTCACCCGTCGCTTGTTGTAAGTACTCGTTAACGCCAAGCGCCAAGCAGTGAGAGGCTTGCGCAGGGCACATATTCTTTCGGTGATGAATGGCAAGTAGCAAGCGATTCGCTCGATCGCTTGATTTAGTTAATTCAAAGCATTATCGATGTAGGTCGTAAAATTTTGTCCCTCAGATACGCAACGGATAACGTCGTATAAATTTGCTACCTGCAATGTATGTAGAAAATTCGCTTGGTTTTTTATCGAGTATGTCACATTAAAATCGGATTTCAATTTATTTCATTCTGGAATAACTTGCGTTCGTCGCTCGTAACTCGCCACTTGCATCGCTCGTTCATAATCGAGCGCTGTCGGTTATTTGAAGAATCGAGTACTCGAGCGAATTTTCGCTCGAGTTATCCCATCACTAGTCAAAAATCCCCAAAAATAGACGAGGAGTGCGGAGGAGGAGGGAAATTTAAATGTCAAGTTTCTCACTTTTTTGCTTATGTCTCAGAAACTATGGCATCTACTGAAAAACACTCCATATACAAAAATAAAGCTGACAAAAATCTCTAAAATGGTTGTATACATTTTTGTTCTCGGACTTATGTTTTCCGAACTACGCCCTTCATAAATTTGGATACAAAATTAAATGGCATATTCCAAATCCGTACAAAAACATTTCTTTTCATTGCACGTTTTTCGTTCAAATAGCTTTGAAAATAGCGTAGAAAGTAAATCCACATAAACTTATTTTAATAACTCAATAATAACATTCTTTGCCATTTGTTGCAACATTTTTGAGAAACACTATTTAACTTAGACTAAAGTATTTAACATATTGAAAGAAAATCATTTAAATTCTCAATGAAATTGCTACAATATAAAACACAGAAACCCAAAGAAGACTAATAAGACAAAAAAAGTACTTTAAAAATAAAAAATATTATAAAAAACACAGAAACTTAAAGAAGTCTAATAAACAAAAAAAATACTTTAAAATTAAAAAGTGCTATAAATATCAATAATTATTATTCTACTTACTATTCTGCATCAGGTGTCCATCCAACCCGAACCATATATTCCATCCAAGGAAACAACACATTCAAAGAAAACTGCAAGTCCAAGAGAGACAAGTCAACGATCTGCAAGTGGTCGTTGAGTTTGAACTCTACAAGTTTCAAGTACGACTTGGAATTGGCACAACCCGCTCTAGGAAACCGGAACTCCTCCATGTCGCCCTCTGCTTGGCAGGAAGGAAACCAGAACACTTTGACTTCGCCCTCGTCCACTTCTTCATAGAGGATTCTATATACACCGTCTAAAAAAAAAACACTTTGTTCTATGTTGATGTGCTTAAGAGTCTATTGCGCTGTACTTTCGGGTCGCTGTCAGGGGTCGGGTAAAGCGGGTGTGTGACCGAAGGAAATATATATTATATTTCAGAAATCTGCCTAAGGCTTAGCCCGATCCTGTCGTGTTAAGCCACATCCTAATTTCCGAACACACGTGCTTTAATTAAGGCGTGATTAAGGTTTGCAGACCTTTAGCATTTGCCATAAAATAGCGAGCAATTTGTTACACAACCATATAAATTATATATCACTATAATCACAAAATTTCAATCTATTTACGTATTGTAACGGAATTTTAAATTATGTCTTTATTTTCGAGATAATTTAGTCCAAACATAATGTATATTTTGTTGATGTTTGACCATCAAAATTTTAAAAATAAAAAAGTTGTCTAAAAATGTGCTACAATAGAGATATAGTATAATCCTTTATCTTTAATTTCCTTCTTTATTTGTGTAAAAATACGTAGCCAGTTTACTTTAAAATACCAACATAAAACGTTAAATGCCGAACGCTTATTTTGCTACTTTTTTCGGAGTAGTGAAATGGACTCTTAAGAAAAAAATAATGTTCCATCATACATCACTGAAAAAAAAAGATTAACGAAGGACTATATCAAAGGGATGGGTGGGAAACCAGAACATCCTTTACCTTTTTTGTGTTTTACCTTTTAAAAAAACCCAACAGAAACGTAAAAAGCGTCAACATTACTTTTTTGGTGTATCTGCCTAAATTTCGATGGCTATACAGAAATAAAAAATATATATATATATATATATATATATATATATATATATATATATATATATATATATATATATATATATATATATATATATATATATATATATATATATATATATATATATATATATATATATATATATATATAGATTAAAAGATCAAAAGTACAGTTTCCAATTTTCGGGATCGAGATCCCGTTTTGAAGTCCCGGGATAAGAATCTATAATCCTCGATTGGATTATGGTGTGTAGAGCTAAGGAGAAATATCTTCGTGCATTAAAAAATGGTCATATAAACGGGAAGACTTAAGATGGCGCTGCTGTAGCAAAAACCTAAAATTTAAAATATGCGCCGAAAATGTTTATAACAGGAAACGATTCAAAAGAGATAAATATTTAACGTGAAGGCGCAAGTTTCAAAAAAATACAAATTTTATTTTCATGTCACATGAAATAAATTATCGATTTTTATTCAGCAGCAATAAGACTGGGCCTCTAATATATAAAAATAATTGTTTTATGTTCGAAAAGTAAAAAAAAAGTTTTTTGAATAATATTTGATTATGTTACTTTTATTCTCCTATCTATAGTTACTTTTCATTTTTTAGATTTATGCGTCATTAGCGACACTGTGGTTATTTAGTGAACCCTTATTCTTCCCATTTTTGTGAACACTTTTTCAAATAAAGTCCCTTAAGAGATATATTTCTCTTCATCTGTACACTCCATAGATTGGTCTATCAGAATAAGAAATTTAATCTAAAGAAATACTTAAAAAAATGCAGCTATATATACCAAATAGACAATGACAAAAGAGCTTTATTAAAATAGACACAACAAAGCAACATTCATATTTAGTATGTAAAAAATCCAATTCTTGTTGCAAAAAGAATAAAATATAGCAAACACGGAAATATAACTTTAAATAATAATTTTTTTAATTTAACTTTTTTTTAGATATTGACGTTCTGCTTAGTATAAGTAAAATATGATCTTTGAAAGACTAAAGTGTCTAAAGTCGAATCATTTTAGATTGGACATTTAAATATTTCGAAATTTTCGAAATCTCAGGATGCCAGTTTGAAAACCCCAATCAAAAGTAATAAAATTAATTCAAATACTTCTTTTACAGCGGTTAATAACAAATATCAGCGTTTTTAAAGATAATTTACTAATCTGAGGACGTAGATCTTAATAATTAATAAAAATTTTGATATTTTTTGATCTCTGATACTTTTGTAATTTTGTGCTTTATGATCTATTCAAATAGTCACAAAAAAATAAAGATGAAATCGCAAATATTCGTTTTTTTAAACTTCTGAGGTATTCGAAATTTTTAAACTTTTAATGTGGCATATGGATCAGCATCAACTTATGCAACTTTGCCTTGATTTAATAGACCCCATATCTTTTCAAGTTTCCGAGATTCCAATGAGGAGGCTGAAATTTTGGACACCCTGCACTTCAAATCCTGACACAATATAATCCAGATTTGTACACTTTGCATAAAATCAGTTACACAATAAACAAGAATTATCTAATATAAAATAAACACGGAAAAGACTACTGACTGGCGAAAATTCAAATTTACCAAGAAAAGTCATAGAAATCTCGCCAAAAATGGATTCGTTCTTTAAATCTTTCCTTGGTATTTTTTAATTCATTATATCATACATCACCTGTGCACTTGGGCTGCCACCAATAGCCTTGGTACCTGCAGAACTCTTCCTGCATAACATAAGATGGTACTCCAGCACTTAATGGATCATCTGATAAATTCCTTCCTCCTGTATAAATAAAATTATTTATAGAATATTATATACAGGGCTGGGGGCGGCCCAGTGTCCTCAAAAAGCTCCGTCATGGATTCAATTTTCATAGATATACAGGGTGATTCAAATATATTTTTACACTATATACGTAATGTCTTAAATGAACTACTAAGATACTATAGTATTTTTCTCAGTGTATTTACTGTAAAATTTTTATTTAAAAAAACCATCTATATCAAATGTAAATTAAATTATCCTTTGTTTATTGGAAATATTTTATAAAACTGTCCATTTCAAACTAATATAGAAAAAATATGCTATATTGCTTGGTAGATAAAGGGTGACTCAAAAACAAATGCTGTATTTTTCTCCACTATTTCAAATGCAATACTCATCTCTATATTATATTATAATATATACAAATGTTGACATCCAATTTATTATTTTGGTAAGAAATTTTTATGTTTAAGATCAACATTTGAGTTTACAGTGTTTTTGGATTAAGACTTATCGCAAATCTATTGAGAAATTAAATTTATAGTATATTAAATGTCATATATTTAAAATACAACTCAATATAGAATTATATTTAAACCATAACTTAAAAACTCATATGAGAATATATGTTACCATGACCTGCACAATTTGAAAAAAAAGTAAAACTTAGAATAAACCTGACATGGAGCTTATTCAGATCAGTGGGCCACTCTGTATATAAAACAAGGTTCATTTTACCTTTGTGGGCATACGTTATTCTAACATTTGAACCAGATACTGTGTGGGTGACCCAAATGTCATGGTTACAAATATACGCCACCAGTTCAGGGTTAGACAGGCATATTTGTGGGTTCAGCTTAGCACCCATAGAAGTCATTCGTAGTTTAGTCGGAAACAACTGGCCATTCTACATAATAAAACAATTATTTTCAAAGATTTTTGTTATTAATCTTAGCTTAGTAATTTTTTTGTAAAATTCATAAATAAAGGGTTTAAAATCTTACCGTAAATCCACTATCTACACATTGAAACAAGCTACTAGCTGCAGGGAAAACAATTTTTCCAGAATGCTCATGGATCTCGTAACTGTTAATACCCCAAGTTGTCAATCTTTTTCTTTCCCACAGAAGTTGCTCTTCCTTGGAAGATCTTAAGAAATATTTATCTTATATTATATTTGAATGTGTAAAAAATATATAAACAAACCTGTTGCATGAAGATAAATAGGGAAAATTTAAATCTAAAACACACTGCCATTGCAGTTTTAAGCTGTTTGGCTGGCTGGTGTTTGGAATATCGGTAAAAAGTAGGGTTGTTTCCCAGCCTGTATCAATTAAAAATTCATAATTAAAATTGTCCTACTTAATATTCAAAGATACATTAATAATAATAAAGAGTGTTTATATACATACCACAAGTATGTGATAGTAAGAAACATTATAATACATATTCATATCTCTAATATGTATCTAAGAGTTCATTGAGATTATTTTATCTTAATATAGTTGTCTGTACAATAAAAAAAAAACAGCTGTTTGTGTGTGTACTAACCATTTTGAGGAGTGCTTAAAAAATAAATTCTTGTTCGCCCATCCTGTAACGTTCTAAAGGTAAACGATGTAGGAACCATAGTAGATAACCCGGACAGCTGTCTCCTGAGCTCGCTGACTAGGGTTCTGAGCTCGGACCATGATAACTTTCTATCATTCGATACGAGGGTCTTTTTAACGTCCCCTGGCACTAATTCCTGTTCGTTTTCTTTCACTTCAACTTCCATTTCGGACCGAGTTTGTAACAATTAAATTTTCTCGAGTATTTTCAAAACTAAACAGCCTTTTGTGTACGCCACGACCAACCACATATTTTTGTTAGTACGACACAAAAAACCGGTGTTTATGAATTAAGTAAATCATATTTCGTTACGGCGTGTCCTAAAAATAGAGTAAAACACCATTCTCTCCGAAAAAAACATTTCTTTTCTGACCCAAATCTTGGCCAAAAACGAAACTAACCTCATTCAACATGTCACTATATCGATGTTGCCGGCTTTCCACTGCGATAATTTAAACTGATTCCCTTGTTTGGATTAAGTTCTTAAGATCTGGATTACAGAATTTATCAACGTTGCGTATTTTTTCGAAAATAAAAATCTGACAGCCAAAGAATCTCTTTGTAAACAAACTGAAATTAGAAATTTGACAGATGAATTAATTAATTTTGGCAACGTACAATTTTGACAGAAGATCTGATAACAATGCCTTCTATTAAAAGATCAGCCTACGGGCGGACTCTTGTTTACTTCATCAGCTGTACATACTTAGATATTGGGTTAGATTCCGTTTCATATTTTGTCGGTTGATTTTTGGTTTTAACTCTTTGATTTTTGGTATTATTTATTATTGTAGTGCAAAAAACTAATTATTTTGGTGTTGAAGTGACATAAACTACTACCAGATATATGGTTACTCTCGGTTTCGCACAAAAAATAGAAATTTTAAAATTACACGTTGTGCAAGTGATTTAACCTAAAAGTGCCCATACATTTTTTACTTATCGTGATTTTTGTGTGTGTTTTTTAAGACTCTAACAATTCATCAATAAAGCTTAAGTGGAGTGTGTTATTGGTGCTATGCCTCATCTTTGTTGTGTTCCTGTTGGAAAGGATGGTTACTAAGGATAGTTATTATACTAGGCAGCCTAAAGTGTCCGGAAGAGCAAGAAAAGTGGGTACGAGTTATAAATCAAGAGAATTTTATTGAAAATATCTTTAATAAATTTAAAAATAATATTCTCCCATGATGGTATTAATGAAAACTGGACAATTATGTTTATTTTATTCATATTGTGGAATCTCCACTCCAAGTGTTGCTGGTTCAGCTTCGATAGATTCAAACACGTAAGTAGGTATTATGATCTAGGGAAAAATAAAGAATATGTGTATTAGAGATCATGAAAAAGATTATTATTTTGAGTTCAAATTTTAAAAAAAGATTTTGTAAAGACAAGACTGATACAGTTTAAAAAGAAGAATGTGTTTTTGTTTGATAATATATAATGTATGTTAAGCATAACATATATTTGTTCAGTAATTTTTAATGAATAGTATTGATTATTTATAATACCAAATTAATATCAAATATTTAAGTGATGGCTGAATACAATATGAATAAAATAAAAATAAAATTGGTATATTTGCATAATACAAAATTAAGTTTTAAGAATAAAGGTGTTACTAAAAATACTAAGAAATTCATATTTCTTTGTTTTAATTGGTCTAATGTTATTTACATTTTACGTAAGAATTATACCGTATCATCGAAAAAATCGGCGTCTAGTTGGCTTGGAAATGAACATCGATGCCATTCCCTAAATAACTGTACACATAAAATAATTAACTAGAATTTTACAATCTTGGAAAATTTGATATTCTTGAACCTTGATTCTAAATATTCTAAATTTTTTGATTTTCTTGGAATTTAGGTTCGGGAAAAACGCTGATTGATTTTTCATTTGGTTTTCATTATTTTTATTTGGTTTAAAAAAAAAACGGTTCGGCTAACATTATAGCCTCCATCAGTGTTGTGTCATATGAAAAAAAATAGTGTCGAATATAATCCAAAAATTGCATATAAAATATTCACACCACGCACATAATGTTTACTGCGTACTCCATAGTCAATGTAGATAATTTTAGTGTTAAGAATAATAATTTTAAAAAATATGTGGTCATCTTTTGATAAGTTTATATTAGTTTATTAATTGCAGTAAACATTATGAGGTGTGAATTATATTGTATATGTAATTTTTTGGATTATATTCGACACTATTTTTCTCATATGACACAACACTAATGAAGACTATAGTTAGCCGAAACGTTTTTTTAAACCAAATAAAAATAATGAAACCCAAATGAAAACTTAATCAGCGTTTTTTCCTGAACCTAAAATCCCAAGAAAATCAAAAATTTTAGAATAATTTAACATATAAAATGCCAGCGATCTTCATTTCATAGCCATCGCTGACGCCTTTTTTTAGATAATATTGTATTATTTGTAAATATAATTTTTCGAACATTGATACTTGCAAAATATACATATAAATTTTGTGAATGCAAATAATAATCCATCACTATTAGTAGATATTAAATGTTTTTTGTTAAATTAGATCGATTTTCAAACCCCAAAATTTAAAATATATTTACATTTTACCCATTATCTTATGTACCTATACATTATTTGTACATTGTAAAACATTTGCTGCATTTGTATGGTTCATAGTTTATTTGCCAAAGTATTTATTACTATAAATAGGTATATATGTTGTAGTTATTAACTGTATGTTATGTATATTTCATTTAAACTATATCATTTTTAAAATACAAACCAAAAATCTGAGGAATAATTATGTTTTCCATGTATTCTACAACATATTTATTAATCCGTTATATCTAACTAGCGTGACGTCATAAATCTCGCCCGTAGGCTGATCTTTTAATAGAAGGCATTGCTGATAAGAAGAAAGTGTTAGAGATGGGTGAATTCCTAAAATATCGATACTTATGATTGAAATAAGACAACCAGTTTTTTTTCTCGAAGCGAGGTAAAAAATGTTTATTTGGTATAAAATATACAATATGTATAAAAAGAGTACTACAATATTTACACAGTAAACGAACTAAAAACTAAAATTACAGTAAAACTAATTTTAAAATCTAGAAGTCTAATAATAATCAGTACAGTCGAGTTCTATCGTTTTCTATATTCTATCTTACTTTATTAACAAAAAAATCGGTAATACTATAGATATAACTGAAGAAAATAGAGTTTTCGTGCTGGAGGCAACTGTGGATTCTTTGACGAATGATTCTGTCGCTTTTATAGGTGCAAGTTGTACTTGATCTGCTATTCTCAAGACGAATGGGGTGTCAGCTAAAAATAAAAAAGTTTAGTTAATAATACATTATACCGTATGATCGAAATGAAACGGGGTCCAGTTGGCTTTGAAAATGAACATCGATGACATTCCTCATATAATTTTGCATATAAAACGACAGCGATCATCAATTCATAGGCATCGCTGACGCCGTTTTTTTTTCGATCATACGATATGACCGAAAGGTCTTATGACCAAGCATGCTTCATATTTTGCATGATTACCAAAGATCAAATCTTATTAGGGAATTACATTAGAATTTTTTTAACTCTCAAAATCAAAGTCCACGTGATAAGCACCATTAAACTTTTTCATCACACAGGTTTAGAATTTACTATTACTATTAAATAAAGTTAACATAGTCATGCAAAATCAGGTTTATTATTCCTATTTGAGATTTTTACTTATTTTTTTTAGAAAATACGGGGGCAGTGGTAGACATTAGTGTTTTATATTTTAAGAATATTTTCATTTTCATTGATGAAAATAAAAAAATGCCCTGTAGGGCGATTCAAATTTCAAATACATTAAATTTGCAGTATACCGGGTACCTCTCAAAAGTGGCTTACCTCTATAACTTTTTTATTTTTGTAGATATAAAAACGAGATTTGGTATTAACATATATTAGGATTGATTGACGTATTCAATTGTTTTTGGTCACTTCCTGTTTTACCGGAAATGACTACAACTTTTGATTTTTAAATGACAACCTAGGTTTTTTTACTTTATGCGATAGAAAATGACACTCTGAACAGAATGACATATCACATGTCTACTTTTGATATTTTCTCACATGGTTTATTTGAAATTGTAACATGCGGTTCATAACGACAATTTGGCTTGGAATACCAAGTGTGTGGTACCAAATTATTGGTTAAAAAATGCTTTTTCCAAATATGCTAATGAGCCACCCTCGTTCCTTTTTAAAAACATGAGATATGATTAAAGATACGATTTGGACATCTTTTAACCGGCCAGGACAAGACACTAAAAACAAAATTCAGAGTTTTTAGTACACTCAAGGCACTCTAGATTGAAATTTAAAATACGATCTGACATAGAGCATTCACAAAACACTGGGGCACCCTGTATATTCTTTCGCTCGGTAGACTATAGTTCATAATGGTCACAGTGGTTGATGTTTTACGTTAAAATAAATTGATTGATACGTACAAATACATCGCCTACTTCGGTAGGGTTTGTGACCAGCTTTACACGAACAGTTCTTGTGAATACAAGCAATTTTCTCTTGACAGTCTTCTCCACAGTAGCATTGGTGATCGTGATCACATGTGTCATGCAGATCTGTAAACAAAATTTAAGAAATTAGGTTTGGTTTGGTTTGGTACAAAGTCTTATATATTACTAGTTATTCTTTCAAAAAATATAGTTTCTTTATATTAAATATGAACACACTGTTTTATACTAAGACGATTAACAAATATAATATATTAATATTAGGTAATATAATCAACGATATAGCGAACTAGAACAGAGTTTAGTAGATAATAATAATAGCTCCTGTATATAGCGTTTAACGCCTTGGGAGTAGCAAGGTACAGCTTGCCATACTAGAGCTGTTCGGTAAACAAGGAAGGTAATGTGGCTAGCACTACGCTTCAACCGCCTATTATTACCTCAGGATTGTGATTCCCAAGTACTCAGTTAAGGCTGAGTCGACCTAGGTATCCAAACTATTTTTATTTTAATAAAAATACTCGGCTGATGAAATGCCGGGTGTGGGATTCGAACCCACTACCTTGAGATTGGTAGACGAGAGCCTGTACCTCTACGCCATCGGGCACCTCGGAGTATAGTAGATAATCACATAATTATTTAACGTACTGCATCGAAACACCTTATTACTCTGAAGCTACTTGAGAGCTTAGATCTTATAAACTTGAGAGTAACAAGTAAGCAGGTATTTTGGAGTAGTCTGATTATAAATTCTTTGACCCTGATAGTGTAATTTTTTATTGAAATACCTATATAATAATAATATATTTCTTTTAAGAAAATTGTTTATCTCCCTTCATTCTTTACACAAAACAGTCATCAGACAACTTTTTGATCATACTGTATCATATTCTTAAGGTACATTCAGGCTGAGAGCGTCGAGCGTCGCGTCGCGTTGGCGTCGCGTCCGCCCCATTGAACTCGAACCCCGACGCTCAGCGGACGCTAGCGCAACGCCAAACGCGGCGCTATCTGTCTGAACGGTCTAATTTAAGTTAAGTGAATTGATTCCATTTCGACACGCGGACGCGACACAAACGCGACGCGACGCTCGACGCTCTCAGCCTGAATGTACCTTTATTACCTCTGTTTTTAACGCACTGTCCTTGGTGCAAGTGGTGGAAAGGTTTACACGCACACTGATTCTTTTTTGTGCACATACTTTTCACTCCTAGGGATCTGTGACAGTCGTGTTTCTTGTGACAGGTTATCCTAGGCTGGGGTACTGCAAAAAATAATTTAAATTAAAACTTAAGAAATAATTGACTCTTTTTTATGTTTATTATTTATTATTAGTTTATTATTGTTTTCATTCGCGTATGCAGTATGCCAGTCGCAGTTTGGTATGTTTGAAAGTGGTAGAGAATGATGAATTATGACAAAATATCTTTATCTTGTACCAATAATGTTTTTAATTTTCAAACTTTACACAATGTTTTTGTTCCAATGAGGACGCCAGGGCATTGGTGCCATAGATTGGTACGGTTTATAAGTGGTTGCTACATCGTGTAAATTTCTATACTTGGCAAATACAGATCTTTAAGAAAAATATGACAAAAAGCTGTAAAATACATATATTTTTATAGTACATGAGTGTAATTTTAAATAAGACGTCTATAGTATATATTTTAAATAACTTTTGTACGAATGTTGAAAAATTATATGTCACTATGTATTTGAGCCAATTTCAATTTTTCAAAGACTACCAATCGATAAAATAGTAATCTTAAATGTTGAGTAGTTTATTTGCTGTTTCGTTGTTTATTACAAAGAAATAACATTTCCGAGTAACAAGATCTTTTTATCTCTATATGGTCAATTTTCTTAGACACACTGTATCTTTAAAGTAGACTACTGCTTCCTCACAATATTTACTTATGGAATTTGAGTCTTTTTTCGAACATTTATTATTTTCCGACAGTATTTAAATCGCCTCGATGACATATTGATATCTTTCTCTGGATTATTGGTCCTGATCCATAGACTTAGAATAAAATATAGACTACACTATTTACATTTAAGCGCGGTCCAATATTAATTTTTGTAAACATGTTTACTCCTGGGTGCAGCTGACCTCGGCCGTCTGAGTCTTTCGCCTCCAGCCTATGTTGTCACGTCTAAAATATTATTAATATTTTTTTTGTTGTTATACACATATATTGAGATATTAAAACTGTATTTTAATAAAGTAGTGTTTAATAGTAGAAAGATGTATTAAATAGTCCCTATACTACTAAATTATAAGTCGGAGACTATTTAAAAATGACAAATTCTTTACAATTTGGCAACACCCATCAATCGCCGGGTCGCCTGTTCATTCTTTATTCTCTCGTAGTAGAGCCATAGTAGCAGGTGGATGACACTTCTTATGGGAGAACTGGAAATGGTTGAAAACTTGACTACAAGCGATTTTCTAGGAATCTTCTTTACCGATAAATTATTGACAAGAGTGACAGATAAAACCTTGACATTCTTTCAGTATAACTGTTCAGCTCTTTTTCTTTCTAAAGTGTGCGTTGAAAGGAGACAAAAACAATTTTTTGCAACCCATAAATTGTTATTCGAACACCACTTTTCTCCTTGTCGGGTCGTTGACGTTGACTTGTCGCCATTTTATTTCTTTTGTTTACACGTTGCAGTTTGCTTTGTAAATTGAATACATAAATTATTTAGGCAAATATAGGTTTTTGATAAAACTCCTTGGACTAACGTGTAGGTAAGTGTTGATAAGTAAGTTTTTTTCATCTTAACATGCTCATTGTCATTCTCCTGATTTAGGTGACAGAAAAGGATCATCAAATGAAATTGAATTTTATATTTTTTCATCCCAGGACCGATAATAAAATATATATTTTATGGATACCTTCCTAAATATCAGCGAGATGAGCCATCGGAAGAAAGGGACCATAGTACAAAACAGAAAGGTGATCTTTTTTCTTTCCACTTAGGATATTGAAATTATTATATACTGTAGTCGTGTTTGGCATTATGCTCTTAGAAATATAGGTAAACAAAGAAGAACAGATATAAAGCATCCCAGAGGAAAAGAGAGGCAATACCTGTACTCTCTCTCTGATATTTGTGAAAGTTACGGCAAAGTATTGTTGTAAATGTCATCTTTTTAATCGACCTGAAAACTTCGAGCAAAAGATGACACTTTCAACAAAACCCTGACAGATATCAGAGACGATACAGGTTTTTCCTCTCTTTTCCCCTGGAATACTTTTAATTTATTATTCTTTGTTTATCTAGATTTCTCAGAGCACTATGAACGAACTCAGCTTGTATGTTTGAAATAATCGTCCAGTTGGCTTCAAAATGATGATCGATGACATTTCCTATATAATTTTACTTTCAAAATTATGATATATATCGTCATTTCTAAGCCATCTATGACGCCATTTTTTTCAGTTTTGTTATAATTAATTTTGTCTCTTGATCTACTTGTAACATTATTTTTTAATTTTATTAATTTATTGTGGTGAAATTAATTTCTGTTGTATATTTGATATTGATATTAAACATATTTTTAAAAAATGGTGTATTTTTTTGTGTTTTTATCTATGTCATAATTAAAAATAAATGAAGAATTAAAATTTTTTATTTTTTTAAACTTCCCGCCATGCGTGACAATCTAGTCCGTAGTTCCTACAAGCGATATTGGGGGCGCTAGTAGCAGTAGACTTGTCAACAGTGTCAAATTTAAACGTCAATTTCACTTTCCAATATTTAGCAAGGCGCTCGCACTTCTCCTTGTGTATGTGTTTTGTGCATAGTAGAGTAAAGCACGTGTCGTAAAACCTTGTTGTCACAGTTTCTCCATGGCTATTTTATTGTTTTTATTGGATGTTTTGATTTTGTATTTTTTTTTGATTCGATTTTCTTAGTGTGTAGTGTCGGTTTAGTGTTTATTTTGATTACTTTTTATTTAAAAACTATAAAACATGGTTCGTCAGTGCCAAATTTGTAAGAAATTGGACTATTTAAGTCCTGGAACAACATTCCACAGGTAAGTCAAATTTACTATTTTGGCGTCAGTGGCGTTGTAGAAAGGCGCTTATTTAGATAATAATTTAGTAAATTATAAACCCTGGAAAATCTGTATTTTTTATATTTATCATTTACGTAAAGGTTCTTACTAACCTCGTTATTAATATAACGAGTAGATACATTATTAAGTACATAAGAAGTAGACACATTATTTTCTTGGGCATTGGTTAATTTAATGCTTTTTTTTATGAAAAATGTGTTTCTTTTTATTCTAAAACCATCCTTAGAATCTAAAATAACATACAGGAATTCCAGAATGATATTCCATTATGAAACAACAATTTTTAAGGCTTATTATAAACTATAAACAATCGAGAAAGTCGAAAAAATTACAAGCTACCAAACATTTTAAAATACCAAACATTCCTTATTTTTTTTCAAGACTAAAATATTTTACAAACATTACTTTTTCCCTATAGTTTCACATCAGGTATAGAAATAACTACGTTTTTATGATAGGGTCACCATTATGATAACAAAAATGACGAACAATGGTCCAGAAATGTAAACAAGTACATATTTTTTGTAAATATTTTTCTTACCGCTTGCATTTTTGTCCATTATTATTTCACAAATTATACAGGGTTATGTAAACCAGGTAGATATTTCGTTTTTTTTATATTAAACAAAGATAAAATAAATATGCCATTTTAAAATTTATCCAGTACTTACCTAGAGTTTTTTCTTTTTTTTTCTCGACTGTTAATCTATTATTAATTTGTAATACCGTATGATCGAAAAAAACGGCGTCCAGTTGGCTTGGAAAAAACCATCGATACATACTCCATATAATTTTACATATAAAATGACAGCGATCTTCATTTCATAGCCATCGCTGACGCCGTTTTTTTTCGATTATAAGGTATAATTTTCATTTTTTCTTTTATAATGTAATATCACTTAAGTAATATCACATATAATCTGAAGATAGTTTTAGAATTAACCAAAACGTAAATCTTTAATAAAACAATCTGTTATTATTTGCCATATATGTATGTATCCAAGAAAATAATTTACATATTATTATTATATGTTTTACTGTTTTTTATCTTTATTTGAAACTCAGAAATGTTGCATTGGCTTTCTAAAAAAATGAACTTGTAAGTTTTTAAAATGCTTCGTTTCGGAGATACAGGGTGTAGAAGTTTCATTTTTATTTCGATTTTTTTCCAAATAATTTCTGAAGTGACGTCAATATTTGGACGAAAATTGGCGTTTGGGAGTTTTTTGACATGAAAAATTAGATTTAGATGTCAATTTGACTTTTACTAATAGGGGGCGCCACCTACATATTTTTTAAGTTATTTGAAGAGTAATACTTTTTGTCTGTATCTATATAAAACTACTGAGAAAAATTTACATTTCCAACGTTTTTTACTTAATAAGGTCTCTTGTTGACACTCGCCACAAGTATAGTTCTCAAGATATTTGGAAACGAATTAATCAATACATTCTTCATAAATTATTTGGAAAAAAGCGAAATAAAAATGAAATTTCTACACTCTGTATCTCTGAAACGAAGCATTTTAGGACATAAATTTATACTATTTTTTTTACTGATTTTATTTGCAGATTATGCTGCCAAAGTTTCCTGAATACAATTCCGACCACTCTGTATATCAAGATATCCCCCATTACGTACTAGTTTTTCTTAATAATTTTCTATACATTTTCCAACGCCAAGATGTACCAAGCGCATACAAATACATCAAGCTTCAAACAAGCTTGCACGTTGACAGTAATACCTACAGTAATATTGTATTATATTAATGTAATATTTTTGAACCAATGTTCAATATTACTGTAGTAATACTGTTTATACTCATGCCTTTTATATTTGTTTGAATTTGGTGCATATTTCCATTGAATAAAGTATAGTCACCATTACCATTATTATACTTACTCTATAATAAAGACAGTAACGAGTTAAATAAATGTAGTTTTCATTTTATTCACTTCCTAAAAGCTTGCTTTAATGGAACAGATTCCTGTTTTTTCTAATTTACATAATAAGACATCACTTTTACCGGAAAAAAAAATTAAACAATTATAAAGTTTTTTCTCTTTCTGTTCTATTATATCTATAGAATAGATCCTGTTTTGATTAATATTAGAGTTGTAAATGTTTGACTAAAATTAATATTTTATTAAATTAATAATTTATCATCAATTTCAAAAATTAAATAATTTCGATTATTAAAATTTCTTCTATAACACGTACTTTATTATTTTTATCGTTTTTAGACTCTAAGACGTATTTTTTTCTAAGTCCTAAACTTTGCTTTATATTAAACTATTTTCTTTATCCTAAATCTTAATAATATAAAAAAGTTTAAATACGATATATTTTAATCGAATTATAGCTTCATTAAAATTAAAAAAAATACCCGCCTATGATACGGAGAGTGCAGGTGCACTGAAGAAACAAAAGACAGTGTTGCGTTGGGCGGCAGAGCCGTCAGGAAACGACCGTTACGACGGAGACAGCCTATCTATCGCTCGTGTCGCACTCGTTAGAGCCAAAAACAATAACACAACAATAACAAGACGTTGTCTGTCCGCATCTTCCAGCTATTTATGAATGAGATGCTCAGTCTATATTTTATTCTAAGTCTATGTCCTGATCTAATATAACACCCTTAATAGAGAAGTTTAGCAACCTACAACCGAACGTAGAGAGTGGAACGTCTTTAACTAATACCTTCTCAAATACTAAAGCATCTCCTTTTGTATTATGGATATTAATTCTCATTAATTTATTATTTATTAATTATAAAACAACTGATTATAAGAATTATTACAATATAGTTGCCCTTTTTCCAAATTTTGACAGATTTTTACCAAAAAATAACACGTATAATGAACAGTGATAGGCGGTGGGTTAATATCCAATGGGTATAATAAAGAAATTTGGGTATATACTTGTTACCCAGAAGGTGTAGGGTATATACCCATTGACAATATATTTCGTCGAGGAACCGTATTGTAAAATTCGATTATTCGCCTAACCTAAATTGAAATGTCTGCGTTGTGCTGTATTTTCGATACAATTAAGAATATTGCGCTATTGTGTAGTCCTTGTGTGGTAAGACAAGTAAGGTAACAACAAATTCTTGTTAAAATTTGTTATATTACGTTAAATTAACAAAATATACTTGGATATATACCGGGTATATAGAATTCACCTAAATTCAATGTACCCTGTATTTACCCAAATTTCAATATACCGGGTTGTTACTCTTCAGCCAAATTTCATTCTAGAGTGCCATGGCAGTGTTTAAACTAATTTTTGATCAAGGAGCACTGGAAAAATAGATTTGATCGTCTTATGTTTTTCGTGTCTTCTCCTGGCCGGTTAAAAGATGCCCAAATCGTATTTTTAATCATATCTCAATTTTTCCAAATGGAACAAGGGTGGCTTATTAACATATTTGGAAAAAGCATTTTTTGCAAATAATTTGGTACCGAACACTTGGTATTTTGAGTCAAAAAAAATTTTTCGTTAAGACCCACAAGTTACAATTTCAAATAAACTATATGCGAAAATGTCAAAAGTTGACATATGATATGACATTCTATTCAGAATGTCTTTTGCTATCGAATAAAGTAAAAAATACCGAGGGCGTCATTTAAAAATCAAAAGTTGTAATTATCTCCGGTGAAACTGGAAGTGACCAAAAACAATTGAATACGTCAATCAATCCTAATTTATGTGATATACTAACATACCAAATCTCGTTTTTTATCTAAAAAAATTAAAAAAGTTATAGGGATGAGCCACTTTTGAGACGCACCGGTATGAAATATTTTGTTGCTTACCAATGTTTAAGTTGTGTGATTGTTATTGTTATTTTTTCTGTTCTTTTTTTCTGAAAAACAAAAAATGCCGTAGCCATACATTTCTAACAAAACTTATTACAGCTCTTTTTCCAAAAATATCGTCCACTAAGGTATAAACATTATGTATAATATATATTTTTTGTTTTTCCAACAAATTTGGAAGTCGTCACGTCGCACAGTGGTTCCCCTTAATTAGCTGCGCGGTCATAACTGTTAGATATCTAGATATAGCTTGACTGCACCTTTATTAGTAGAAATTGATAACAAATGCTAAATAAATGTATATAAAAAAACTTAATGTAATATGTATTAAAAAAATTGTGCCCAGTTCGTGTGATTTGCATTTTAAGTTCTAACTGTTCAGAAAGGTATACAGATTATGTTAGCACATAAGAACATGTTTTTTCATATTGAAGAGGTCAAGTTTATTTTAAATGTTGTAAAGATAAAAGAGACAGTTGTTTCATTTTATAAATACAATTTTATTGCCAATTGATATACAGTGTGTCCACGAAATAAGTTGACACGAAGAGGAAAAAATAAGTTACTTTTATTTTAAGATAAAAAATCAATCTTTAACCACCCGGTATAAGATCCGGCGGCAATTCGCGGCAGCCAGTGGAAATTAATTTATATGCAATATACTTTAGGCAACAAGTATTTTCATGTCGTTTAAGAGGATTTGAAAGGGAAAGTAGTTAAAAGTCTTAAAGAGTGACAAGCAAAAATGTAAGAATACTATTTTTGTTTCCTTCAAATAAATTGCCATAAACTAAAATTACTTAGGTTTAATTAAGTGCAAAAAAGAAAAAATAGTTCTTTTTACCTTCTTTTCGAACGACCATTACAGAAAAGGCAACAGCTTTTGCCAATTTTAATCAAATAAATAATTAATTGGCGTTATCTGAAAACTGTTTATGTCAGCTTGATACCAGTAGCAAAAATGTGACATTTCTAATAAAAAAGCGCTACACTAGGCTTACTTGATTTTGTTATTTATTATGTATCGTTTACAGGGTAATATAAGAAAAGTATTATTGCAACAGTTTCATGCAAACACTTTGAAATTAGTATTTCTAAGTAATGACCTATCTGGGAACCACTGTGCGTCGCCGTCGTCCCTAAGTGTGGTTTTAATATTTTAGGAGGTATTAGATAATGCGATATCCCTCCCTAATAGAGAGGTTTAGCAGCTTTCCGCCAACAGCTCAACGTGTTTAAAAGCTCTACAAGTCAAGATTATTATTTTAGGATCAAGAGGTGTCAGAAACTAGACGAAATCCAAACAACCTTTCGGTAGATTTACGTTTTCGGCTAAGTCTTTTCGTAAATAAAGAGTTCTTTGTACGGTGCTCCTTTGAGTCGTTGAAAAAAGTTATATGTGTACTTTAACTTTCTTTCGTTAATTTCGGGAGGTTGTCGGTGTCTTTAATTTTACGATTTTGTTTTTATTGTGCGGTCTAAAACGATTGTAAATTGTAAATGTTTGGTAATGGGTGGCTTAGCCAAACATTTACAGTAACAAAGAAAAATGGTGTACTACAGTACTACTACTAGGAGTTGCCATTAACGACTGAGATCAATTTTACAGGCTTTATCTTTAAAAATAACGTCTCTTGTCATTTATGACATTTAATTAATATTGTTAAAGGCCAATGAATAGCTAAATGTCAATTTGGATATTTACATTTTTAAATTTTAAAGACTAATTAATTTTTTGTTCATAATATTCCTCCTTAAGACTGTTAATTACTTTACTGTTTTAGAAGTAATAACTAGGGATGAAAAACCGTCTCAAATACTGCCGTTTGTCAAAATTACAAAAAAATCTGTATAACTCGTTATTGATATAAGCGATACCAATTAAACCTTTAGTTACGTAATCGAGGGCGCGATTTTTAAATTAATTGTTGCCAATCATGGACATATTCGGCGCCGGGTTGACTAACTGGAATTTAAATTTCCCCCTGAGGATTCAGGTGGTAGCTCTGCTGTCAAGAATGTCAAGTTGCCACATACACGTTGTTGTGATACTTTAACCTTAATTTTTTTTACTAGTAGACCTTGCAGTCAAACACTGTTCTTTTTAGAACAACTTGTAGAGCAAAGTGAACAAGTTTGCTTAACGGCCGTTGCAAAAAACTCATCGCAACCGTATTAGAATATTTTGAACGGGAAAGAGGTAGTAATGTCCCTTAAGTGTTGTTAAGGAGGTGATTTTTGTTGATGTAAATAGTAACTGTTTATATATTTATAATTAATTTATTTTTGTTTCCTTTCAAAATATTATGATTAAAAGAAAATATGTAAAAGTGGGCAACGCTGTGCCGGTCAAGCTTAATCACGTCACTAAAAGTTTAATTGGTATGAACTATAGGTACTTAGATATACGTAGTTTTAAGAAAAAATAAGTCCTCATAGAAAACCCCAGAAGACAGATAGAGCAAGACAATAAATAAATTTATTTTCTTTAACTTTAAAAAATCTGCACTTTTTGCGCTTGTAGAGATTTGACAGATGTCATTGGGGTTGACAATTTTACTTCTAGAGATTACTACTAAAGTCAATGACTAAAGAATCCAAGGACAAATAACACCCGAGAGCAAATTGTGCCGATGTCACCAAACAGTGCCGTGGCACATATTTTTCTTAACCTAGCTGTTTGAAGCAATATTTATATTTTTTGATAATTGTTTTGACTACGCCTATGGTGTATCATACTAATTAATTACGAAAAAACGTACTAAAATGTTAACAAAAGGTACAAAACTAGTATCGACGTATAGCACATATCAAGTACACATAGATGTTAATTGAAAGTGAAGATATCGAATTCAATAAGAAAACGCTAAAAAGTTGGAGTGGACTGTTTATTTACCTATAAAACGTAACTCCTGGCTCTTTCTTATCTCTGCTGCTTTTAAACTTGAAAGCTGAACAACTAATCACCATTGTAATAAAGTTTATACAAAGTTTACTACACACAAACTATTAAAAATCGCTAAATTTGTCGCTGGTGACCAAATGATCACTCATTGTTTGCCATCAAAAGAATGGCCTCTAAGATCACAAATTCTGCTGCAGCCCACATATGGGCGTTACATGTCCTTATATTCTTTAGCCATTGACTAAAGTCATTAGTAGTTTTAGTAAGTATAGTTCCTACTAGAGACTGTTTACTAAAACTAGATTTCTTTAATTTGTTACTCTGATTTTTAAAACTAATTCCACAAAAAATAGACACATAGAAGAATGAATATAACGCATCCTTTGGTGACTTCGAAACTAACTTTTTGACGTTTTTGGAAGTCGTTAAGACATAAGTGTGTCATCACTTGACCTAATTGTGTTTTTTTATGTACGGGATTTAATGACATATGACTTATTGCCATACAGAATAGGATGGCGCCAAGATTTCAAAAAGTGATTAACTATGAAACAACAGAACTGTTATTAGTTCATGCAGTGTCAATTTTTGTACTGGTTTGTTTTTGGGTAATGTTTTGTAACTTATATTTCTATGGTCATTAAAAATAAGTGCTTTAGGTTAAAAAATGGCCAAATAAATTAAAAAGATAAAATTTTAAACAATCACTGTATTCATGACACTACCTACTACTGTTTCGTTCGTATCAATATTTTTGATGTAAAATAATTACATTTATTTCTATATTTTATTACAATTTTTTTCTTTACATTTTAATCATTATTAACATTAACTGACTCAACGGATGGAGAATGCAGAAAAGGAGCTGGAGGGATGTTTAGGAAGGGGGTTAATCATCGCAACCTTATAGATCTATTGTGTGTTCCCCTTTCTCTGCTATTGTTTCTTAGTTTCAATCTACTGGGTGTTCATTGAGGAGACTGTTATATACCCCGTGACAATCCGAAGATTTTTTTTACTTAAATGAAGGAATCTTTTTTATTTTTCTCGCTCGTAAGTCCTGAGAAATTTCTTCGAGCGTCTTAGACCATTGGAGGATTCTCATTCAAGGTTACTGATAGTTTTACAGAATATCTTCAGTAAATTTATGACTCGGTCATCTCGAAACCTCTTTTTGATATACTCCTTTATTTTCTTTTAATCAACGGAAGAATATTATCAATAAACATTTTATATAAAAATATAGATCTAGAACTCACATTTATAACAAAAACAGCATCTCTCATGAATCATTTTGGACTTTTTCCTGTCATCGTATAAATTAAATGGCGCCAAAATAGCATCTAAGCCGATAAGAATCTTTTTTATATTGCCTCAGCTATAAATTACGAGTTTGATTTACGTCCTATTGAGTACGCAGTGTTAAAAAGCAATAAAAATCTCCTATATGTAATCAATTAAACTATTTATCGCGGCCTATTATTAAACAATTGCCGTAATTCTGTAAACAACGTGGGTGGCAGAGCGGATCACTTTTTTCAGCCTTTGTCGCTTTTTCAAACGACACAGATAATGTTGAAATTGATTGATGAAAACTATTACAAAAACTTGTGGAAAACCAATTAACTACTTGTAGTAGAAATATGACATAAACTATACAGATGCAAAAGAAGACGCGGTTCTGACCGAAAAATATTGTTGCGGACCCGTGTGGAGTGTGGACTCGGCATAACCTAACTAGCTAAAATGTCCCGCCCCATATGACCTTAATATCGCATTAAAGAATAGACACCGTAATGATTCATTCGAACGTCCACTGATAACCATAACTGAGAACAGCCGAGCTCAACTGGAATGGAGTAGTACATACGAGAACATTCGAAACCTTCTCTATGCACCTAATGATCTATGGATTATTCGAGAACTCTTTAGCTATGGGTAGCTGTGGATATAAAAGCCGTCGGCTGGGGGCCTGAAGAGGACAGAAATAAATAGACGAGTACAGTTGTCCCGCTAAATTCAAAAATAAATTCTTTCTAGATAAATAGTTATAAATAGTTTGTATATAGTTTTTTAAGTCTTTTAATCGTTATTGTTTGTTACTTAGTGTAAATAAATTGTGTTTAAATAAAGTGTGACTTTCTATCCACACGGAACCGACGAAAAACGTAACAATATTTACTAAGTTTAAAAACTTCAAAGTCTTTTACTGGCCTCTAGTATCAAATTATTTTCAATTTCGAGAGATTTTCAATTTTCATTTTGCTAGCAACATAAAATTTAAAATACTCTTAATATCTCAAATTTCTCTAATTTGGGTACATTAGAAATATAAACATTGTATCCTTAAAAAGAACTTACGTGCAACGCAGGAATCAAACCATACTGCAAAATTTGGTTTACACGTACACACATTATTATTGCATTCTGTGTCTATTGTACCGCAATCTTCATCTGTTTCGCATGGACCATGTATTGCTGACGCTAAAATAACAAAAACTTTTATTTCTTTAAAAAAATCCATAAATGAAAAACAATTAATGACTTTAGAATAGATGAGCAATTGTACTAAAGATATCCAAGTTTTATTTAATTGTATTTTACTTATAAACGATACCATACAGCTTTAAAGCGCTAAGTACATATATGGACTATTTTATGTAATAAGTCGTATAAATTGTTGGAAATTGTAATGAGGATGTTACAAAACACTTCGTTAAATTAATTGGATCAAACTTCATTAATTCACTTTAACTATATACATTTTTATAATTAAATAATATTTCTAAATTAACTAACTTTAGTTTTACCTATCCACTATAACATTCTTCAATATTGCATTAGATTAAGAGTAGTCTATAGGTCACAGGTCGACAATATACTTTTAAAATTTCTAAGATTTTCTACATATTTATTTAATTTATAATATACAGGGTGGTCCGAACTGTATTCCGGAAACTTCGGCAGCATTCTCCATTTAAAAATAAGTAAAAAAGTTCGTATAAATGTATGTCCTATTTTCGGAGATACAGGGTGTAGAAGTTTCATTTTTATTTCGATTTTTTCCAAATAATTTATGAAGTAACGTCAATGTTTGAATGAAAATTAATGTCTGAGGGTTTTTTGACATGAGAAATTTGATTTTGATGTCAATAGGATTTCTGTTTGTAGAGGGCACCACCTACATGTGTTCACACTTTTCCTCCGTACCTGTATAAAACTATGGAGTTAAAAATATACATTTCGGTGAATTTTTACGTAAAAAATGACTCTTGGTAAAAATTATCACACTTCTCATCATTCCACTTCACAAGTAGAAGTCACATTGATATCAAAATCAAGTTTCTCATGTTAAAAAACTCCCAGACACCAATTTTCATCCAAATATTAACGTTACTTCAGAAATTATATGGAAAAAATGGAAATAAAAATAAAATTTCTACATCCTGCATATCCGAAACTCAGCATTTTAGGACATACATTTATACGTACTTTTTTACTTATTTTATCTGCAGCATATGCTGCCGAAGTTTCCGGAATACAGTTGGGACCACCCTGTAGAATAATACTTTTTATTATATTAGTGCCTAGTGCCTACATATACTACGGCAGACAACATCTAAAACTCGAAACTCAAATGTTTATTTTTATCTGTCTAACTATCTACTATTCCACCAAAATACTTTGAAATTATACGTCTTCTGTGACGAAGTTTTTCTTCAATTCCACTTCTTCACTAACCATTTTTTTAATCTATAATTACACTTAATATTCATGTTTATACTTATAAGTGATTAAAATTAGATATGCACTACCATAAACCTTTTAAATCCTTTAAAAAACATATGTAGGTGTTTCTAAAACATACGTACCTTTTATTCCTGCGATAACACAAGCCACACAGACCAGTAATATCTCCAAATGCATCGTTGAATAATAGCCTTAATGTAAAAATCCTTTTTCTCAGTTTAAATTTTCGATCAAATCGTAAAGCTTGCCCTCATCAAATTGTTTAGGTAAACAATGAGATGCATGGTCTGTAACAAAATATAATGAACATTAATAGATTTATTGCTTCACGGCTTACTATACGATGTGTTAAGAGTACTCGAATGAAAGTAAAATTTTTAAGATAAACATATTAAATTTAATATGTAAACTGTGATGGAAGCAATTGAGAAAAGTGCTCATTAAGTAATGTATATTGTTCTATTTTTATGTTTTTTGGTGTTTTTATACAGGTTATTGTCTCTAAGTAAGATAATACCACAATTTACTTTATAGTCTGTGCTAATACATTTGATACAAGTGCAAACTATGAAATTTTATATAGACAATACTATTTTTCTTTGCTATAGAGAGTTTATTATAGGAATTATAGCATAGTGTGTCTTGTAGACCATCAATCTAACAAATCACCACTTAGTACAATTAATAGGGTCAGAATATAATTAATTTCTTTGATATGTTAAGCCGCGTCCAAGCTAAGCGAACAAAATGTTCGCGAACATATTTAATTAAACAGATATTAAGTGAAAATTGTGAGATAGGTAGATTTATAAATAATAAAGCCAACAAGTACAGCTAGCCTAGGCTTAGGGTATGAACATAGTGGAGGCAGGTTTCTGCTTTCCGGCAACCAGCGCCGTCTCTGGGGACCTATTCTTGACCACATATCGCTCACATCTCGCATCTCCGAAAAAGCCATATAACAATACACGTGATGCCTAACTTTGCGTATATGCCGTGTATTGTTATATGGCTTTTTCGGAGATGCGAGCAGGGTTCGGAAGTAGTTAATTAAGAGGAAATTTACCTGATTAACTAACCTAACCTAACCTAACCATATCCAAACGCCGCTCCCGCCGCGCCGGCCCCGCACATAGGGGTATTTGGTCTATAAACCTGGCCAAAAGTGAAATATTTTTATTTTCATTTTTTATCTTAACTGAATGCAAATCTATAAATACTAAATGTAAGCGCGTTTATTAGCTTTTTTAAGTCGTAAGTTGACTATCAAATAAATAATATATTTCAATTATAAGTATGAATTATTTTGAGTGTATTCTGAAAATTTCTAAGATTATAAAATAGTGGAATTGTTTGTAGTGCTTTTTTACAAATTGTTTATAATAACTGTCATGATGGATACAGAGCCAGCTGGCAAGTCCTGTTTTATGCCATATTTTTATTTTGAAACGTTTCCTTCTATTCTATTTCTTTATAATGTTTTATATTTAAAAAATCAGAGGCATTTTTATAAGGTGTAAGACTATTCGGCAATATTCCGCATGGAAATTAGTATCCGTTCAGTGCTTAAAGTCTCCAGCTTTGGAATATGTACAAAAATCTTGCCAATATTTGCCACTGCCAAAAAAAACATTGATTTAAATAGATTCTTAAACGAAATAGTCTTTACCCTATAACACCCATCCTCGCTCAAATATCGTCTATAATATACAAATTACTTTCTTGTTCTAGCATCCTCATCCAATTGCTTGGTTTTGCACAGAATGCACCCTCTCCTCTAATCCTCTAATAATTTGATCGGTGGAAAGGGTTTCAGAGTAGAGGAAAAAATATTGTGTAGGAAAAACAAAATGGGGTTCCATATTAGCACCCTCTCCTCTAATAATTAATATTACTAACAAAAAAGCAAAAAAATCATAAAACATAATTTTGGCCAACCTTTAGTTCTTAATACCCTCTGTGCCGTCGGCGCCTGCAAAAGCAGAAATAAATAAATTTTCGTTCGGGTAAAGCGAGAACGCCGATGAACGCTGGTTGACGGCTCCTACCTGCTTTCACTGTGAACTAGCCGATTTGATAACACGCTTTAATTTTTCAAGGTTATAAGCGCGAGGCGGCGCGGCGCGGCGCTACTATGTAACCATATACAGGGTGTCCCAGAAATACGTGCAAGTATTTTAACTTAACTGGTAGTATAGTTCAACCCCAGAAACACGCCTATGAGGTTTTTTTTCTAAATATTTTTTTTTTTTTGAAATTCGGAATTTTTTGAAAATATTTTTGGAATTTTTGCAATTTTTTTAGTTTTTATTTAAAAAATAATTTCTTGATAATATGGCAACATAGGTAGTAGATTAAATTTATAAGAAAGAAAATCCAGAAGAAGATCCAGTGGTTCTCAAACAAATCTCGAAGTATTGGAAAGAATATGTAAGGACCAAGAACTATTGACTACAATAAAACGACGGAAAGCAGCATATTTTGGTCATATTTTTCGAAATAACAAATATAGTTTCCTACAGCTGATCGTTGAGGGAAAGATTGAAGGACGACGAGGCATCTGGCGTAAACGGTTTTCCTGCATGCGGAATTTGCGCCAGTGGTTTAATATAGGAGAGGCAAGTGCAATTATCCGTTTGGCTCAAGACAGGGAGGAATTCCAATTGATGGTCGCCAACCTCCGATGAGGAGAAGGCACATGAAGAAGGTTCTCAAAATTTGAGCAAAAAATCATTTTTTTTGGAAATTTTCAAAGTAAAATAACTCCGTTATTTTGGACTTATTTGAAAAACGATAAAGAGAAAATATGTTTCTTTTATCGAGATCTACCACCCTTTAAAATACTTGCACTTATTTCTGGGATACCCTGTTTATAACAATACACGTGATGCGTATACGCAAATTTGCGAACGATGTCAAGAATAGGTACCCAGATTGGCGCTGGCTACCAGTAAGCGGCAAACCTGCTTGCACTGTGTTCGCACACTTATTAAGGAGCGCTGAGCGCGGAGCGCCGAACGACTAGCTGTACGCCAGAGCGTGCGTTTGCCTATGCTAGAGCGCGCGCGTTCTTTTTCCGATGGGTGTCGGTACATCAAGAGGAGCGAACGGCGTGCACTTCGGCGGACATTGTACCGGACACTTGGAAGGGTCTCATTTAATTTCGGGCGTCCATCTGTGATTTTTATTTTTTACCGAGTATTCGACAATGGGAGACGCAGTTATTGACTGGGATCGTGTAAAACATTTACAACTAATTTGTGTACACAAAGAAAAGATTTTATAATTTTAATTTTATTGTGGGTTGAGTGTGAATAGCTATGTAGCTAAACTTCGTCCATATAATTTCATTTTTGTTAATAAAGACCTTTATGATTATTTTTATTAAAAACCGGAATTATAATGGGATTCTGAAATTGAAATTTTTACCATTACATTTTTAGAAATAAATATACCGGTGGAATATTGAAAAGTGGTTCACTTCTATAACTTTTTTAATTTTTTAGATAAAAAACGAGATTTGGTATGTTAGTATAGGACATAAATCAGGATTGATCGACGTTTTCATTTATTTTCGGTCACTACCCATTTCACCGGAAATGACAACAACTTTTGATTTAAATAGTACCCTCGGTATTTTTTTACCGTATATGATAGAAAATGACATTTTGACACAAATGACTAAATAGAATGATATATTATATGTCAACTTTTGACATTTTCAATTAAAAAATGGCCATAAATAAACGTAACAACAATTTTACTCAAATACCAAGTATGTAATACCAAATTATTCGTAAAAAATGCTTTTTCCAAATATGCTGAGCCAGCCTCGTACCATTTGAACAATTTGAGTTATCATTAAAAATACGATTTATTGGGCATCTTTTAAGCGGCCATGAAAGGATACGAAAAAAAATTACACGATCAAATATATGTTTCCAAAGTTCTTTGATTACAAATTAATAGTTTTAACTCAGTCTTGGCACTCTAGATTGAAATTTACAATGCTATTTTTATTTACTTGGAAATGTCTAAAATTGACATATGGTATGTCATTCTATTCAGAATGTCATTTTCTATCAAATAAAGTAAAAGTACTTTCTAAAAATCCAAAGGATACAATCTAAAAATCCAAAGTTGTAGTCATTTCCGGTGAATCAAGAAGCGACCGAAGGTAATTGAATATGTCAATCAATCCCGATTTATACTAACAAACATATACTAACAAACCAAATTTCGTTGTATTATCTGAAAAAATAAAAAAGTAAAAAAGGAGAACCCCTTTTGAGAAACACCTGGTAGAATCGGCTGAAAATGAATACAGGTCTTAAAAGTACACTATAACGAATAATCTACCAAAAAACCGTCCGCCTGCTAAATATTGATTCTTCAACGACAAAAGTTCTTAAACCGGTTAATTTATTTAATAAAATACTGGTACTGTAGTTTTCTCAGCTTTGCACCAATTTTGTTTTGCTACAGAGTTTCTTTTTTTGTTTTTTTTTGCAAGCATTAGCCAATACAATAAAAGCAGCTGCCGCAATTTTGACCTTATCATCCACATTTATTTTTTTAACTCACATTAAGCCGGGCACTCGAAAAAACAGCGATTGCTTAAACGCATCCTAGATCTATAGTTCCTAGATCTACTATTCTAATCTATCTATTTGTTCGCTTGGCTTGGACGCGGCTTTAAGATATGAAATGAGGATGGATTGACGTATTTAGTTAGTTTCGCTCACTTCCTGTTTCACCGGAAATTACTACACACGAAAATGACAATCTGCATAGAATGACATATCAAAGAGAATTTGACTCGTATAGAGAATTTGACAACAATTTCGTTTTATTAACTGAAAAAAATAAAAAAGTTACAGGGATGAGCCACTTTTAAAAAACACCCGGTATATACCTTGTAACCAAACAAACTTAGTAGTCTATATGTTTAACTCTTCTTAGATCATTGTTTAGGTTTTCATTAAGGTTTCTATATAATAAATGACACTTTTGTTATTGCAATTCTTTTTAAATTAAAACAATAGCATTAACAATAACAAATAGAAATATAATTAGCGCCTAATGACTACATAATTGTTTACAGCGACGAGCAGCTGATAAAATTTTATTTTACATCTAAATGAAACCCTTTTTTAAATGTAAGGTCTTCGAAGATCACACCCGAGACTGAAAAAATCAATTAGTCGTCTCCGATTTGTTACATATCACGAACAATTTAATATTCTTTGTTATTATACTGTATTTTAAATTATCTTAATTTTGTAAT